ACTCGTGCGGACTACGGGGCCCACCGCTTGAGAGGGGCTTGGACCATCATCAAAATCATGAGAAGGAAGAGAGAGAGAAAGAGAAGAGAGAAGAGAGATGAGAGAAATAGAAGAGAGAGAAAGAGATAAGAGAGATGAGAGGAGGAAAGAGAAAATCACCTTACGGATGGGTACCGACTCTTTTCTTTTCTCTCTTCTGTCTCTCTCCAAGACGTACCCACGAACTTAAGCTAGAAATTGAAATTTTATTGAATGATCGAAGGTCCATTTACAATTAAGTTTAGTATGTTTATATAGAATTAGGCCCAAACATGGGTGGATGGCCAAAAACTACCTAAATTGAAGATAATTACAATTTAATTGAATTAAAAGATATTCTAAAAATGGGTGCAAAAAAGACTATTTTGCCCCTGTCTAACAATGTGTGAAATTCCAGAACAGTCTCTGCTGCTGCTCGAGAACTTGCGTGATTGTCCATGACTGATCTGGGGTTCCTCTGACGCCCGTTTGATCGAAAGATGATTGTTTTCTTGGAGGGCTCAGCATGGCGATTGATTCGATACCAACTTCGAGCCATAAATCGTGTTTTTAAGCCACGATCATGCGACTTAAAATTTGGATGAATTTTAAAAATTTTGGAGCGATAGTGAGCTCGTTCCTTGAGGTTTTTCTGTGATTTCTTCGTCGTAGTACACTGAGCATGCCGTCACGATCGCGTGGCAACAAACGGGACACGATTTGGAGCCCGAACGAAGATTTCGTGACCTTTGGGTTTTAGCTGGAATCTAAAATCTAGCAGCCGGAATTTACAGTCACTTTATCAGCCTCATGTGCGAAATCCGACTGTTCATCATGTACAAGGGGTTTAGACCAGAAGCCCTAGACCTTACGCACACGATGGAACTGTTCTCGCATCAATCCGATGCTCGAACATCGTGATTTGGCCGCTAGAGCGAGGCATATCGCTGCTGATTTTCCTGCATCTTTCTTCACGGTTCAACAACTTCTCTCTAGCTCTTCTCCTTACTCGGGTGTCATTACGGGGCGTGCCATATATCGAACTCGTCTCGACGAGACGAACACACTCACAAATTTTGAGCGCAATCTGACTCGAAACGAGTGAGATATGGGTTTCTGAAGTTACTGCCCGAAATTGTGAAAATATTCATCATTAATGGTGATTTGGTGCAGTGAGGCCGCACGAGAATTAGTGTGCGGCCTACTTCTTTTCAGTATTTTGCTCATAACTTTGTCTTGAAGCACCCGATTAAGCCGAAACTTGACCCATAGAGGTTTTCGACTGTGCCAAATCCAATGGCAGTGGTCCCACACCAATTTGACGCACTAAAAATATAATAGGGTGCTAGGGGCCGATTTTTCTGAAATTGTTTCTTTGTGTCCACTGCCTTAGATATGTCGGATTGCGAGGAAACTTTGGCAAGTGACCTTTTGGAGTTCTTATGGAGATCTTGATCAGTTCTGGGGTCATTATGAGACTATTGAAATTTTCACTGTTTTGTCAGGATTTATTTTGCATCAGGGACCAAGGTGCTAAGAAATGTATTCAAACAGCCCTAAATAACTAATTCTTATATTATATACAATATACAGTTATATTTATCTTATTAGAGACTATATAGTCCTTTTTTGTTTCTACTATAGAACCTAGGCTCTAGGTGAGCTGGAGCCCCCAGGCCACCTAGGATCCGCCTAATGCTTTTTGAAACACTGTGATGGCATTGACCAGATAAAAAGGAAAGTGTCATCTACTCAAAGCTGAAAAAGATTAGGTTATAAAAAATCTTCCCGCCCAAAAATGGTTATGTAAAGAACTTCAGACAGTAGGGCTGGGGTAGGAGGATCACTCTTGAGTCTTACATCACTATGACAAGTGTCCAATTACAGCAAGGAAAAAGAGTGAAACTTCTACTCTGGATTGTCCACAATGACAATCTACTCTTCCATATGTCATGAGAAGGGTCCTCATACACTAAATTGTCCCATGCATATATATATCATCTCTTTCTTTCTTGTCGAGCTAGTTGATCTAGGGTGTTCTCTGTAACTGAACTTTGATAATCATCTAGGCATCTGGAACTCTACCCGAACCCCAATTCATGTTCTAATAAAATTTGGAGTTATTTTCCCATTTGTATCCTTGTGCTCTTGTTTTGGTTGGAGTTATTTTGTTTTGTCATCTTTCTATTCTTGTCTTTATCATTCTCATAGGAACACATTTGGGCCAAAACAATAACCTTACCAAAAAAAATCTATACAATAAAAAAAAAAAAAATGTATACCACTAGAATTTAACTAGAACTTATGAAAAATTGACCTAAAAAATAAACATGTTTTCCTTGTAATTCATAACATGTTTTCCTTGTAATTCGTAGCATGCCCTAATGTTGTATATGTTTGGTGATAAAACCTGAAAAACTGTCATAAGGTTTTATTCCCAATTTGAGAATAACCTCATGATAACCTCTCTCTCTCTCTC